AAAAAGAAAAAAACTCGTTGAAAATTTATTATTATTCCACTGTAGACATTGTTCCACCATTCTAAAGAGCTAACCGAGACGTTTCTAGAACAACCATAAAAGGTTGTATGATGATATCAAAAAAGATTGCACGCACCACCAAAACAATGATATAGAAAGCAAAATAAAAACCATGATTTAATCATCCTATGCTCATGTTTAATTAATTACTATAATCTAATTTATTTTTAAAAAAACTAAATTTTACAAAGAATAAAGATAAAAAGATACAATAAAATTTGTTATTTTTAAAATTAGTAAAAAATTCTATAGAAAGCAAGTAAAAAAATAATAGAGCTCAATCTCCAATTAAATAAATTTTTAAATGATGAAATTGAAAAAAAAAAGCATGAGCTTAAAAAAAAAAGAGAGAAATAAGAAAACATAGGTGAATCTTTTAAACCCAAGCTAGTTTCCAAACTTATAATTTATGAAATTCTAGACTTTGACTCAATCAAAAAGTTCAATTTCTAACTAATTTAATGTTAAATGATGAAATAAAAAAAATATCAATTAAAAAAATAAAAAATAAAAAAATAAGGATAAAAAACTTTACACGGGTATTGTTTCATCCAATCTACAATAAGCAATTGTAATGCTAAATACATAATTAAAAAAAAAATAGAAGAAAAGGAGCCATAAATTATCTTAGTAGAAAAGTTAAATATTCATTTTAAATTTATATATTCAAATAAAATTGTTTTCTGATTTGTAGGAGTTTCCGTGTTTTTCTAGTTTTACATCAGTTTGGCTGCCTAGAAAATGAAGCAAAATAACTGTAAAGGAGTGGAAATGGCTGCGAATGGACTCTCGAAGGTTTACTTTCTTGGTATTAGTGTTTTTTTTTTTTAATGAGATTAGACAGAGAACTATTTAATTACATGATAATGACTTTATAGATTAGCTGTTTGATGATGAAAATAATATTTTTAATGTTTTAAAAAATATTTTTAATATTAACATTTGAAAGTACATAAAAATACTAAAAAAATATTTTTTTTAATCTAAATTATTTCATCATGTAACGTCATTGATGTTGGTGTTAATACTTTGTTAACAACTGTAAAAGGCTAAAATAAAAGAGTATTGTGATAAGGAAGTTAAACTGTACTAAGCTTATTAACATTCCTAACAGTCACCTTGATTCAATTTTACATCGTTTTTCTTTTTTCTTTTATATATATATATATATAGAGAGAGAGAGAGAGAGAGGATAACTAGCGACTGGAATCAATATCTTTTTTTTTAATAGAAAAAAACTGTTAATGAAACCTTTGTATGTTTTACAAGTGTTAGAACTATTCTAATACTCTCTTCATTTGCGTGTAATTTTCTCTAACCAAGAATTTAGAATTGAACGATTTGCTCTAATCTTAGGTTTGATTGACACTAAAAACTTGTATAATTATTAATTTTAGAGCTTGTAAAATTAGTTGTTATACATGCAAACTGACTGAACATATATATTAATTTAAAAAAAGAAAAATTATAAAAAATATATATAAATACATTATTATTATTATTATTATTAAGAAGATGCTCTTAAACAACCAAACGTAGCTCTTCGCATCCTCTTTTGAGAGTAACCACACCCAAATAACAGATGTAGCCATAGGCATGCATGTCCCCCACATTGGTAACGGGTTGGACTCGTAGATTTTAGCTTTGCACAAGCAAAGTTCACAGATTCGTTGCGTATCCTCTTATCTTTAACTAATAAAAATATTTTTGTAATACATCAAAACATAGCGTCTTTTGAAAGTAAACCACGCTCAAATGACGAAGGGAGCAAATTAAAGGCATGCCATTCGCATTTTTCAAAATGCTTCTTTTCTTTTGCATAGAACATGAGGAATAGTTGAAGTGGCATATGGAATAAATAATTTTGTTGGTGATTCACCATAGTATTCGAAGTAATTTTATTTAAATTCTTCATAAAATACTAACAAAATAATTTTATCGGTTATGTAATAGTTAAAATATCATATATACAATGACATGTGAGTAAATCTTTTTCAACAGTATGGAACATACTAAAATTCATATGGAACATTAATTTGTACGAACTTAGATGCAGAATATTATATATATGTTATTGTTTGAATAACCGCCAGCTGACGTAGACTTGTTTGCCCTCCCGCGGGATCAATGCTTAATTAAATGAGGCGGCGTAGTTTTTTTTTTTTAATTCTTATTCCTTTATTTCTATTTATTTTGTTTTTAGTTATTTTCTAGTTAAATTTTATTTTTAATTTTATTTATAATCATTTAATTTTATTTTTATTTTGTTTTGAATTTAATAATTACAATTTCTTTTATTTTAAATACTCTTATTAATTTAATTGTTTATTGCAACATCAGGCCTCGGAGTTTATGTATTCTTCAAGCGCCAAAACTGCCTCGAGGAGGTCGACCCCGGGGAGGTTCAGGTGATCAATATTGTTGAAATGGGAGAAAGGAGTGTCCATGCTGAGAAATAAGTAGGTACCATGCCATGTAATAAGAAGTTGAAGCTAATTAAGATTCATACAAACGAGAAAATTTATGTGAAAATATTCTTATCAATTTTTAATGGATTTTATTTTTAATTTTTTTCATCACCCATCTCTCTTTACAAAATGAATTCATAAAAGTAATTAATAAGATATTATTGGTAATACAATAACATCATAATAAAATAAAAAACAAAAAAAAAAAAGATTGTTATTGAATTTTTTTATCAAAATAATATCATTTTTACTTTTTAGTAGTATAAAATAAATCAAATAATTAACTAGGAAAAAATCATGTCAACACCCATTAATTTTTTTTGTCATTATTTGTTTTTATCAAAATAATTTTATTTTTACTTTTATCATAATTAAAAAAAATTCAACTAATTCTAGTAACCCTGATTATGTGACTCAACCTGTGACTCGAGATATAATAGGAGTTGACTCTTAGGCTGGTGTTGCTAAAAATAAATAATTAATAAGAGTTTTCAAAATAAAAGAAAAATTATAATTATAAAATTAAGAATAAGGATTAAATGCAAAAAATCAAATAAAATTAAAATTAAATAACTAGAGATTAAATCAAAAAAATAAAATTTAATTAGACAACAATTAAAAACAAAATAAATTGAAATTAAAAGAATAAAAATTAAATTTGATAAAAAATTAAAAGTCAAATGTTAAATAATAAAATTAAAAATAAATAAATTATATTTAATATAATTAAGAGATTAATAACTATTTTGCAACTTTGCGAATCCAACATGGCATTTGAGTTGAAGAAAAAAGAAGAAAAGATACGGATAAAAAAAAATTGTCTCCTTGCTCTCCTCACCGATCCCCACGGTGTGTTGTATCGGTGAGTGTTTGGGCATGACCACTGTGGCCCTTAAAAAAACAATTGCCTCCTTGCACTGCTCACGGATGTCGACGGGTTGTTGTATCGGTGAGGGTTTGGGCATGACCACTTGTGGCCCCCACCGAAGAATTGTAGAACGTGGCACTGACCACTTTTGGGCATGACCACTGATGGGAGCGACCCTGATCGTCAACAGTGTAGGGA